GCTTTAAATCCTCTCAGCACTATGTTGGAGGGTTCAGGGCTAGGCTATCGTTTGCAGAGAGATGGTAAGGTTATATCCCACCTCCTTTTACATGCATGATTTAAAACTGTTTGCTTCCAGTAGTTCCATACTGATGAATTTACTAGAAATAACTAAAACCTTTAGTAAATGTATCAGGATGGAATTTGGTGTAGATAAGTGTGCAATCATGCATGTAAAAAGAGGCAGGGTTGTGGAGTCTGATAGGTTGGAACTCTCAGATTCCACGCACTTTACATGTCTCTCAGCTAACGAAACTTACAAATATCTGGGTATGTCACCGGCGTTAGGTGTAAATGAGTTGACTATGAAACAATCGTTACAGGAACGCTTCTTTAGCCGCCTGAAAAAAGTATTAAATAGTCTTTTATCAGGTGGTAATAAGGTGTGAGCCTATAATGATTGGGTCATACCAGTTCTAACTTACTCTTTTGGCATACTTAGATGGACTCAGACTGAACTAGATACCCTGGATAGAAGAGTTCGTACATTGCTTACTGTATACCGAATGCATCATCCACGTTCATCGGTGATGAGGTTATATATTCCACGAAAATGTGGTGGTCGTGGTTTTCTAAATGTCAAGACCCTCCACAATCGTGAGATATGTAACCTTAGGAATTACTTCCTGTCTGTTGATGTGGATATGCATAGGAATGTAGTAGTAGTTGATAACGGACTAACTCCGCTTGGTCTAGGTAAAGAGAACTGGCGCAAATTTGCAGTACTCAACATTACTGATCGTAAGGAGATATGGAAGGGCAAAGAGCTGCATGGACGTTTTTATCGAGCCTTGAACAGGCCTAAGGTAGATCAACTAGCGTCTGTATTCTGGCTTCGATTCGGTGACCTCTTCGGGGAAACTGAAGGTTTTGTCTTTGCAATTACTGATGAAGTTGTTATGACGAATAATTATCGGAAGTATATCCTGAAGGACGGCACAATAGACATTTGTCGGGCATGTCATTGTCCTGGTGAAAGCCTTAGACATATAATTTCTGGTTGTTCTGGTCTTGCCAACGGCGAGTACATGCATAGACATAACCAAGTGGCCAGGATTGTCCATCAGCAACTTGCTCTTAAGTATAACCTTGTGACTGTAGAATTACCGTACTACAAATATGTGCCCGACCCAGTTCTTGAAAATGGTCGTGCAACGTTGTACTGGGATCGCCTTATTATCACTGACAGGACTATAGTTGCCAATAAACCTGATATAGTGGTAATAGACCGATTGGAGCGCCGAGCAATGATTGTTGACATTACCATTCCACATGACGACAATCTCTTGAAAGCTGAAAAAGATAAACAAGTGAAGTATTTGGATTTAGCCCACGAGATTGTCGACATGTGGGATGTTGATTCGGCAATCGTTGTACCGATAGTCATATCGGCCCATGGATTAGTTGCTAAGAGCCTCGACCAACATCTTCAGAGGCTCGCGTTAGGCAGTTGGATTAAGGGTCTGATGCAGAAAGCAGTTCTTCTCGATACGGCACGTATTGTGAGGAAGTTTCTGTCTCTGGAGTCCTAACCACCGATATCTTGGTCTCTGTACCCGATACCGATGGGATACTATTTTTTATATTTTTAAATGTATTTTATTTTTTGTTTTTGTATATAAATATATTTAAAAATGTAATTTATATGTATAAAGAATGAAATAAAGAAATAATAATAATAACATTTATTTCATAGTAAAGTTTTACAGTTTCATTACATAGGTTATCATAATAGTTAGGTAAATGACTTAGGCTATAATTAATTGGAGTGATTGCTGTTCTCCTAGATATCCTGTGTGTGTGGGTGTGTGTGTTGTGCGTGTACGTGTGTGTGTGCGTGAGTGTATGTGGAAGAAGAAGTCTTAAGAATTAGTTTTAGTTTGTTCAACAATAAAATATTAAAAATAATGGACCGTTTTAAAATCATTTAAGTAAGTATGAAAACACTTTAATACGTCCTAACACTTTGAATAAGACCTCTAAAGACTTACTTTAAACGTTATTCTATTGCTTGTAACTACCTTCAAATGTATACGAATTTTCATAAGTATACTATAAGAGACTAAAAAGTTATGATGAAATGTAGCTCTCCACGTTCACGATCACAATGTGTGCGGCCTATTTTGGCCACCGATAAACCTGTGTGCGGATATATAAACTGGATGTTATGCCAATAATTAGTTGTTTAGTTCAGTTGTCTACCTGTAAAATTTCAGCGTCGTACATATAATAATTTACGAGATAATTAAATAATAGTCATTAGAAGGTGCAAGACCGTGGTAACCCGACCATGTTTAGGTGGTTACAAAAAAGCGATCACCCAGTACATTGCGCTGTCTTTTAAAATATTTGTTGGTACCTGTGTAGTATTTGTTAATTGAAGTTTAATTTTAGGGTAGGTATAGGTAATATAAGTTTTGAAGAGTGTAACGTATGTGTTGTAAATAGGTATTTTGTGAATAGATTGGGATTTTTTTAAGTGATAAATCCACTAATGCTAGCATATCGCGAACAAACTCTGTATTGCATTATTTTTGTAATAATGTTGGAGAAAATAAAATAGTAGACAATATTTGATCACAAAATCGCGGTGAGTTAAATTATAATAAAATAAATTATTTATGTAAAATTAGTAATAAGTGATATACCTACCTACAAGTTATGATCGTTTTTAATTTGTTCACCTCGAACGAAATTTCAATAAACGAAATTTTAGAAAATTATTAAGCACAAAAAATAATTGACTTAGAACGCCAGTATGTTACCACTTGTATCACAATTCCATGTTCACTCGAGTAATGTGAGGTGGTGAACCGTCTTGTTGAAAATAAAGGTCGTCTGCATCAATATCATCAAATTCCGGAAAGAAATATTCGGTTAACATCGAGTTATAGCGCTCGCCACTCACAGTAACAGGGTTTCCTTCGTCACTTTCAAAGAAGTACGGACCAATGATTCCACCGTACCATAAACCGCACCAAACTGTTATTTTTTGCGGATGCAATGGTGATTTGTAAACCACACGTGGATTTGACTCACTCCAATAGCGACAATTTTGTTTATTAACAAATCCATTAAGCGAGAATTGGGCCTCATCTGAGAAGATGATTTTACGATGAACATCGTCATCGGCTTTCATCATTTCCAGTGCATAATCGGCAAATTCACGACGGATACAATGGTGGGATGGCTTCAATTCTTTTGCCAAAACAATTTTGTATGGGTGTAGGCCCAAATCCAACCGCAAAATACGCCAGGTGGTCATTGGAGAGAGCCCCAACTCTTGTGAACGGCGCGTTGAACTGATCGATTTGAATTCGCATCGACACTGGCCTGAACGGCTGCGATATTCTCTTCACTACGGGCATTTCTTTGTCTCACAGGTACAGCAGTATCGTGGAGAGTGAATTCACTTTCAAATTTTGTTATTATGCGATTTATAGCGCGCACAGAAGGAGCACTATGACGACCGTTTTTTGCACGAAGCGCTCTTAATGTAGCGGTAGGAGAACGCGAATTTGCGTAATAATTTTGGACAATTACCAAGCGTTGGTTTAAAGTGAAAAGACATGATAAAATGGCAAACCTTACTGAACACAAATGTCAAAGATCCATCATCAAACATGGCCTCTATGAGCTGTCAAAACCAGGTCATCCCTATTGGTAGACCCTTTATATATATAATGTTGGAACGTTGGAGGGCATGTGTGTACTATTTTGTATGTTTTTAACAGATTCACAGTTTGACAGAGCGGTCGTGGTCACATTGAGACGTCCACGACGGCGGCAGAGGCGGACACAGCCCTTCGTACAATCGCCCGCCATCTCTCCCTGTTGGCAGACTGTCGGATACAGTCAGACAGAGTCTCCCATTGCGTATCCTGATCGCTAATTTCTCCTAGCTAATTGCATAGATTTTGTTGTACATTGCATGTTCTATGTTTACAAGCCATTCATTATATACCTACAAGAAATTCATTCATAGGTATACTTTAGCATTAACATACGGAAAAGCGGAGACTCCTGGCACAAGCATCTTACGTGCTTAAAATAATTGTTGTGATTATACCTGTGTTATGAAAACAAAGTTATTATTCTTATTATAAGCATCAAAAACTTACACCGCATCATCGCCTATCGCCTACTGGTAGCTTCCACAGAATCCCAGAAGACGGGCAGTATTGCCACATTGAAGTGCAAAACTAATTTTCTGTGCTAGAAAAAGGCCGGCCTTGTCACGAGAAGTATCGATCAGTTGCTTAGCTGGTTTTTTATACATTTAAATTAATTTTATTATATTAATTATTTCAAATTCATTTGTAACAGTCTGTTAACAATTATTTTTGTATGGTCAAATTAAATTAAGAAGTGCATTTTTACAGACCGACGTTCTGTGACTGGATAACGTAACTTTTTGCAATTTGAAAGAAACATAAAACAGTTCTAATTAAGGTTAAACAATTTATGAACTGAAACCTAATTCTCATAATAAAAGTTCGAGCGCAATTCAGTTTCGATTAACTCTCGATCTCACACTGTTATAAAAGGTGCTTCCGTAGTAAAGTAGGTATTAAATCTCAAACGTTGACTGTATTCTTATTATATTAATTGTAACTGAAAATTGAAATATTTTACAATTTATTTACAAAAATACCTTTTATGACAGTTATCGTATAGATAAGAAGATCGGAAATGAATTTTGACTGAACTGTAATTATGAGAATTGGTCTTCAGTTGTGTTCAAATTAGGTTATTATTTCATCAATTTCAATTTTGGATCAAACCGAACCAAAATTGTTGCAATAATTACCGATTAAATGATTTAATTCTTGGCAACACAGATCATTTGTCAGTAATTCTCACTATTGTCAGTGTCAGTGCTGCACTGCAGCAGTATGTTTGTTACTTATTAATATGTTTTGATCTATCCATAATTGGTTTCGTGGAGTTCGGAAAATAATGCCAGATAGATCTAAACGCATATTGAAAATACTACAAGAAACAGTTATATTTAGTAGTACTGGATTATTTGTTTATTATCACATCAGACAAACTTACAATTCATTGTACAAGATTGTTAACCCCAAAGTCCTCGACAGAGAGAAACATCAACCAGAATATATTTATATTGATGATCCTTTATACAATTTAACATTGAAATTAGAACAAGACAGGGAGCTAAAGGAAGCAGTTGGTTTAGCACGTGTTTGGAAAAGTTTAAAATACTCTTTAGCGTGGAAACTACTATGGTTGTGCCGTCATGGAAATAAAGATCAAAGAAATATTGCCTTAGAACAGCTGGCTGCATTCAAAAATAATAAGATCTGGGAGTGTTGCAAACTTGCTCAAGCTTTGGATAAAAATACGGCTGTGCTTTTAGCGCGAACGCGCGGCGCCGACCTGCGTTATTTCCTGCCTCCACCCATCCACGTTCGAAGAGCAGCATTATCGTCCGAACTCCTGTCCTATAAATTAAGAGATTTAATTATTTCTGTACAGAATGTAAATCCACACCATTGTATTCAACATTTCATTTATAAACATTTTATTAATGTTCAGGAACAAACCTTGGAAGCCCTAGAAACAGATGGTGTTCCTTCAAAACCAGACAGTTTTAGTGAGAAAGAACTATGCATTTTGTGTCTGGATGCCTTACATCATCATCTAACCCTTTTTCATGCTGCAAACTATCATGACGATTTATCTACTAATAACCTAATAAATATGGGGATCTTGCCTAAATTAGCAGAAGCAATGTTAAGATATAAAAATGATCCCGACTTTGATTTTGCTGTGCTTAAAGTGCTCAACATTTTGAGTATACATACTAATTTGCTAGTAGACTTTTTTCAAAATGGCTTATTAAGAGAATTATCAAGACTGTTGCGATCTGAAGATGTCCGTTTGTCAAGTTCTGCTGCTGTATGTCTAGCAAATTTATCAGGGGAGTACTGTTATCAACCTGGCCTATACCTTTTACATCCTATATACAGAACAACAAAGCCTCCATGCTGTGATACTTTACTAGTGCATGGATTACGTGGTGGTGTGTTTGTAACATGGAGGCAGAGGGACAAAAAGTTTTCCGAACCACTAGGAATTATGGAAGTAACCAATTCTGGGGGTAGTGACCATGTTGAGTCATTATATGAAGGAGATTCTACAATAGTAACAAAATTTATGGATCCTGATGTCAGACAAGTTATGAAGGATTTAGTTGAGAGTGATGATGAAGCATTGCTAAGTGACATAGATGTTGTCCTTCATGATGTACCTATACAGGCTCTAAGGGAACCCCAATCTACAAAAACATACATGGCTCACCAAAAAAGGACAGCATTAATACAAGAAGAACAAGACAAATATAGTTATACATTTTGTTGGCCAAAAGATTGGTTACCAAAAGATTGTAATAATTTGAGAATTCTGGGTGTTAATTATTGGAGTTCATTATCAGAATGGCTTGAGAAATGCCCCTCATTGTCAGCAGATATAGCAACAAGAGCTTCGGAAATGGTGCCTGCACTTGCTAAAGCTGGTGTGGGTGCCAAAAATACAAATGTTGTTTGGCTAGCTCACTCAATGGGTGGGCTTATTGTCAAAGAAGCTCTTGTCAGATCTGCACAGAGTCAAGATGCGGAATTAAAACAACTATCTGAAAACACTAAAGCAGTTTTCTTCTTTGGTACGCCTCACAGAGGAAGTGGCTTGGCTACATTGCCACGTGCTGCAGCAGCTTTCATATGGCCTTCTACTGATGTAAAACAATTACAAGTAAACTCGCCAACATTACTTAAACTCCATAATGAATTTATTCAAACTGCTGATGTTTTTAAATGGGAAACAATTAGTTTTGCAGAAACATTGCCTACATTATTCACAGCATTCAAAGTACCCATACATTTTGTTGAATCTCATTCCGCTGATTTAGGACGTGGAGTGTTTTATCAGCTACCTTTGGACCACTTATCATTATGCAAGCCAGCTACTCGTCAATCTGTTGTGTATAGTATGGTGTTAGATGTTTTGCAAAGAGCATCATCACACCATGAAGATATTCCACATAGATACATGTATAGCAATTTTGAACGTTTATTTTCGATATTACTAACTAAATTTATAGACATATTTGATATAGTTGCAGTAAAAAAACAGTAGTTGCAGTAAATATCATTTATCATTAACCTATTGTGAAATTTAAATTGTATACATACAAGAATCTAAGCAATTAAATTGCTACTTGCTGCCATATAGATTTATCAATGTTACTCAACTTATTATGCAGCTAAGTCTGTCTATTTTATTCATGCCAATGAAAACTTAGTTGCATACAATTGTGATACAAATATTTATGCAATATAGCAGTAAAATCTTGTTATTTATCTTAAGCTATTTGATATAATAATATATATATATATTATTAATATTAGATGATATGCTTTGTGATACCACATGCAACAAGGTGTGAAGCAATTGTTTTGTTGCTTTCCACCAAATGAGTGAGTTTACCAGAGCTCTAAATTCTGGGATGTGAGTGGCAAGCACAGGGTGATGATGCTCTTGTAAGTTTTGAGTTGAATATGTCTATGGACAGTAGACACTTACCCTTGTGCTTGTTCACCCTCTATCACCTAAAAAAGTCTTAAACAGTTATTATTGTAGCACATAAAGTATTACATAAAATGAGTATGTATATAAACTAGTATTATTAATCATAGGAAATGGTTTATAAGGTTCACTAGTCTAAATATTCCTCTGTATCTTTGAGACGTAGAAAGTTTGTAATATAAAGTAGAAATTTTTTGTGCAATGTTATAAAACGAGTGGATTAATTTATTAAAATATATACATATGTTTAATAAATTTTAAATTAATTATTTTTGTTTTTTTTTTTATTATAGTAACATTAGATCTAATGACACAACTACCCCCAAGTTATGCCACAACTGGTTCTATCTGTCTTTCGGCTGAGAAGCAAAATTAGTAGAAGTAGGTCTGTGTGAGCAGTAATCTGAGCCTCCCTAATAGGTAATTAATTTAATGTATACATTGTTTGTGTTCTCCAATCTCCTTCTTCTCTTGATACCTATATTATTGTACTGACATTATACTTATACTGTCATTTAAAACAAGATACCTACTATACTATACTGAAGTTAAATTTAAATAAGCACATATCCAGCTAGGTGCAATGTGTAAAACTTTAAACTTTGAATGTAACAAGTTCAACATGACTAGCCAAAGTCTAAAATTAAAGTTTTATAAAAATTACACAAGTTATGTAATTTTTATTTGGTAATATGGTTTATTATTTTTGATTAATGCCAATCTAGCTGAGTGAGGAACAACACTGTAGACTCGAAAATAGTCAATATGATTGTAAGAAAGGAACTTAAGCTCATCATGCACCTACGAGCTGCAAAGCTTGTGCACTATATAACTATAGTGCTTGAAAGTATCTCATGCTTCTTATCTTTTTCTCTTTTTTTTAAATCTTCTTATGTCAGAGGGATATTAAACTCCTTTTAACTTGCCTATAAACAACTTAGGGGAACTTAAATCACAGATATCAGAAAGAATCCCATATCCCATCTCTTAGTATTGATTTGATGAACTGCTTTAGGGACACCAATTTAATACGAAAATACACTTTTTCTGGTGCAATCAAGGTCCCATTTATAGCTTTGTAGGGGGTTAAATTGGTATAGGATCGAAACCACCATGAGTCACATGAGTTTGACAGATTATCCAGTGTAGCTGTCTGGCTCTACTATAAAATTTACAAAAAAAACAATTAACTATCTCTATCTAATCTATCTAACAATTAGTATTTTGAAATGTCGACAAACCACTGATGCTCTCTATATTTACCTTTCTTGAGACTTGTATAAGTCATAAAAGTTTTCTTTATTATGAGACAAGCCCTGAATTACATTCTATTTCAAAGCACTTCATTCATCAAAATCATGGCTATTCGGCTGCATCTTATGAGGGAACCAAGTCTGTTATCCTAGATATCCCTCCCTCGTAAATAGGCCAATCCTAGTTAGATTCCTCCTGGAAACCTAATTTGTCTAAACCATTTGACTCACCCTGGATGTCATCTAAATTAGATGGCTGTGGAACTAGTACTTCCATATTGACACTAAGCGAATAACTGAGTCAAGGTTGGGGTATCTAGGATTGGAATAAAATCACAATCACATGTAAGTAAAAAAAAGGTCGTAATCTTTGACAAAAAGAATTTTGATTGATTTTAATGGCATTTATCTTTGTCTATGACGAAATCACAATCATGTGAAATCACTGTAACTAAAACGAATTCTTTCATCAAATGAATTATGATTTAAAAGTAGCAAAATTTTCATGTCTAATCGACATGTTACGTCATATCTAACAGAGACATCCGATCATATCAAAGTCAAACTGATGCTGAGTACTATGCTGAGTACCGTCATATATTGCAAGGAACTGTGTTGTTTCTGTTGAAGATAACTTGTAGGTATAAACCTAATTAAGTCTTTTTAGCGTCTTAAATATGTCATGAGTACTTATGTACCTACTACGCAAAATAACTTTTACTTTTGACATTTGAGAGTTCGTAGATTGGAACTGAATTTTGACCGAATTTTATCACGATTGAGTTGAGTTGAGTGGAGTCATGGTTAGGGTTAAATATTGTCTTCATATGTTGAGAATTAAATCCTTTCAAATTTAGGAAATAAAAGTATTTGAATACAGTGACATCTAGCATATTTTGTACAAACCACAAAATCGTGAAAACCAAATATTTTTAAGACAATGTTAGTTGAGCTGATAGATGGCGCTATTCTATGTTTTATCCATAATCATAAACCATAATCTCTAAAGAGGTAGACAGATGGCGTTAAATCACTTTCCAAAGGACTGACTGCACGGATGGCGTAGTGGTTTAAGCGGTCGCCACGCAGCTTCCTACTACGCCGAGTGTTGTGGGTTCAAACCCCACATGGGACGACACTTTGTGTGATCCACAAATTGTTGTTCTAAGTCTGGGTGTTATTTGTGTCCGTTTCATATATGTTTGTAAAGTCCCCCGCGACACAGGATATTATCCTAATGCGGGGAGTTGTCTTTTTAAAAGAAAAAAAAAAAAAAAAAAAACAAAGTTTCACCTTTATTTTTAATACTTTCAAGTGTTGCAACTTTATAGTTTATGACTATTTCAGTAATTTGATTGCCAAATAAAAGACGGTTTTATATCTAAACATAATTTCTCTTCTCAAGTCCGAAAGTTTTCGTGAGGATTTATATACAGACTGTCTTCTTTTTACTTATGACGCAGCTTTGGTGGCGCCTTCCACTCATGAGCTCCAAGCCATCCTGGACAAATTCCTTGTTGTCCATGAGTCCATAGTGTCAAGGTTGGACAAAAGTGCCTTCTATCTTGCTGAACGGAGCTCCTTTGGAGGGTGTTGACAAGTTCTGTTATCTGGGGTTCAGGTCACAAATATCTGTCGCTTGACGCGAAGATCGACATTCGTATCAGCAGGGCGACTGTCACGCTCGGCCGGTTGAATGCAAGAGTGTGGCGAAATAAATACGAGTACATAACAAAAAAAAAAGATAATTTGCCAGGCATGCATATTATTCATACCGTAATACGACGCTGAAACTTAGACTACATACATAAAACAAGAACGTCGTCTCAATGGATGCAATATGTGTTGTCTCCCGAACATCTTGAAGATCTCATAGAAGGATAGGACCACCAACGAGAGGATCCTAGAAATCACTTAGCTGCCAAGTCTCATAGCTATATTAGAGCAGAGATGCTTACGCTGGTTGGAATACCTGCTTACCAAGTTCTGTGCATGTTGAACGACCATTTTCGTTTGGTAGAATGATTATGAGGCCCCATAGACGGAACACGAAAGTCTCTGAACTCTTTGCACTATTGTGAAAATCAGTGAAGTAAGGTATTTTATTTGGCACAGGTATTTTAAAAATATGTATTTTGCACTTAATTACTTTTATTTATTACATCACATCAACAGCTTATAATAGTCCACTGCTGGACATAGGCCTCTGCTTAGAAAAGAGGTTTTGGCCTACTATACCACTCTGGCCAGACGGGTTGGTATAGGGTTTGTGTCAATCAGAATGTGGTGTCAGTGTGAAGTAATTAATTATACTATTATTATGATAGGACGATATATGCGATATTTATAGGCCCGCTCCGATCTTACCTGGCACTGCCACCCGGGACTTTAAAAGATAAAAATGGTTACTGTGGGTTATCCTTAGGAGATATACCATCGCCATATACCATCGTGGAGTTTTTTAACCGACTTCACGAAGTCAAGATCTAATGAGAAATCTAAGAGAAATCGAGGGCAACCCTTAAATTTTATTGGCACGTATTATGTGTTTCGTATATTTTCTAAAGCTATTCAAGTATTTGCATCTAGTAGGCATTATCTCGTGTTGATAAGCTGATGATGGAAGGCACAACTCCTAAACGGTTAGGAGTTGGAGGTTAGTTCTTTAAATACCATATGTATGTTTAGACTTTTAGTTGTATTCTTTCAAGTCATTCAGGTGAGCTAGCTGATGATGGAAGGTTAGGAGTCAGATGTTACTTTAAGATGCCGACATGGTAACTTGTAATGTACAGGAAAGAAAAGACATGCAAAGCTGAGGGTTGGATTAGCATTCTGCACTATGTAGTGCAGGTTGCTAATCAACAAACGCAACGGGTATGTATAGTAGGCCAAAACCTCCTTTCTAAGGAGAGGCCTATATCCAGCAGTGGATTGTTCAAGGCTGTTGATATGAACGGGTATGTACCTAGCTTATATTAGTGTTCTTATGTAAATATTTACAACTAATTGTAAAAAAGCAACGATTAAGACTAAGTCGTTGCTTTTTTTGGCTTTGTGTGGCTCTAAGTCTCAAAGAGCTACACCATCACCACCACCATAAAGGTCCTTCATCCTTACGGGACTTAGCGCAACATAAACTATATTGCTTTTGGGAATTTTAGGGTAGTGCCCTGGAGATTATGATTATTAAAAAATGTGCGACCTTTTCTAACTAATTAAATCTAAAACTTTACCTATTAACTATAACTTACCTCATCATCAGCCTACCGCAGTCCACTGCTGGACATAGGCCTC